TGTAAGTAGTGGAGAAATTCGGTTTGTTTAAATTTCTAAATAGAGGTGCAGTAAAAAAATCCCCTAATAATAGTATGTCCCAAATGAAACGAACACAGGCGTAAGATTGCAAGCCTTTCGGTTTACTACCGGATACATTTCGGGGAGTGTGCAGGGGAATCGCACAACTTGATCCCCCCTAGCTCTTTCCATCATCGTACCACAAGACAATCGGCGAAGCGTCACGATTCATGGTAGATGTCCCACCCACACGCACGAAGCGCTTCGCATCAAGCCTCCTTGTGCGTACTGCTAAGGAGTGAAATTCTTTGCCATACTCGGTGTTTCCTGAAGGGTATAACCTGGGTGTCTTCCAGGCCCGAGTGAATAGGTTGGTTATGGGACGACGTGCTCCACCGTAGACCGCATCATCGCTTATCACCAGGCGGTATAGTGGTCAAACGTCGACCCATCAAACATATAAAAAAAAGGAATATACTTGACATTTATGACTTACTAATTTAATTCATTTTATTGAAGTCTTCAGTAGAGTTTTATTGCAATGGTCGATTGGTCATGCATCACATTATCTTAGAAAAAAGGGTATTCTCTCTCTCGCATAGTGAAGGAGAAAAAAAGAGACAGCGAAACAAAAGCACAAGTCAATTTTTTAAAAACCAATTCTTATTATCTTATTTTTCCAGACGGTCGGAGCAGCTTTCTGCGCTAAAACAATGCAATCAAACGGAAAGGACTTTAATGTCGGTATATGGGACACGGCGGGAAGCGAAAGGTATGATTTTTATATTATACTATTCATTGAATTTGAATCCTCATAGCCAAAGGGGGGTAAGCGACATTTTTTTTACGAAATCGACTTTTGATTGCTGCTGTCAGCAGCGCACCTTTCGCCAAACGCTGCCCATGAATATGAGCCTCTTTTTTTTTTTTTTTTTTTTTAAGGGGGAAATCATCGATTGACTGCCCCCGCCTGGGTGAGGCGGGAGGGAGTGTCAGACTCTTATTGACTAAAAACCACCCCGTTCCTTCTCCTGCACGTCGAGCCGGAGCCCCGGTTACCCGTTAGGTTCTCCGCGACTCCGAATCGGCATCGGCCCTATTGGGCCCCATCTGTGGTGGTCTGATGGCTCTTTGAGGCGCGCGCGGAACGCGACGCGCCGTACGCTCGGGTCTGTTTCTGGTCGGACGGGGAGCCACCCATGCTCGCCGTCCGCAGGCCCGCGCTTACGGTGGCCGGAGATCGTCCCGCGATCCCCGACGCCCGGTGTGTCCTACGCGATGGCTGGGTTGCGAGGAGGCAGCGCTTCGCTGCCTCACGCGTCCCGCCTCCTCCTTTGGAATATGAGCCTCTAGCATGGCTTCAAACTAGTCAAGTTCCTCGTCATATTATTTTTTTATAGGATAAGCCGGTAAACGAGCTTACTGGTCACCTGACAGTAATATATTATTATAATATAATATGTTCATATATGTATATAATATGTATATATAAACTAGTAAATAATAAACTTAAACAAACCTTACTATCCTTTTTCCAGATACGAAGCGATGACAAAAATATACTACAGAGGTGCTCACGCAGCGATCATATGCTACGAGCCATCATCAGCAGCTTCTTGGACCAGACTGAGGCACTGGCTTCAGGAACTGAGAGGAATTGAGGAGGTAGGAACTTTTGAATTCTTTTGGTGTTGATTAGATTTCTGGGGTGTTGATTTCTGAGGAGTTACAATGACAAAACCTGCTGAGTAAAGGGTCGATTCTCAGATTGGTTCGATTACTGAAAAAGTTTCGAAAATCCCTCCAAATACTCCAGATACCATTAGGTAGTAATATGGTAATGACATGCCTCGGAAGAAAATTGTGAAGTTATTAAAAACTTGTTCCCAGTAAATGGCAATAAATTGACTGCCATGGTATTGTAAACTCTGGGTATTATATTTTTAAATGCCCCTACTTTTTTGATTGAAAGGAGTAGCATTAATGTTATGTGTATAATATGCATGGATGTCGCAATGGCTGCAACTGGCTACCGCGCACCATGTCGTGGACACAATTTGTTGTTCCGGGCCTGGGTATCATGTGTATGCGAACTTGTACTTCTGTGCGGCACCCACACACAAAATCTTAGTGTAGGGTAACGCTTTATATAAATAAATACAAAATCTGAAATCCATAGTCCACATTATCAGATCTTTGGATCGGTCTAAGTTATTAACAGAAATGATGCCAACAGAAATCTCAAACTAAAGATTTTGTATAGATATCACATATTATTATTAATTACTATTATTAATTAGTTGGCCTTGGCCGAGTGGTCGCAAGTGCGATTGCCAAGCAAGGGGTCTCAAGTGCGACTGCCAGGCAAGGGGTCTCGGGTTCGATTCCTGGGTCGAGCAAATTTATTACTGGACTTTAAAGAAAATCTCAGTAGCTGCATGGAGTCTGGAACTGTGCCCGGTATATGGCAATAGGCTCACCCCCTATTACATGGGACGCATAACATGAATAGTGAAAAGTGGGTGTTACATTGTACAGTGGCATTAACTATGTTTATATTATAATTTTCCGTGAGACATACTATATTAATTTAGTATTATGTTTTCGGTGTTCTTCGTCAAATACACAGTTACGGGAGTAAGTTGAAAAGATAATAATTAATTTAGTGACATTAATTGCCGTATTGCCGTGCCGACACCTCACCTCTGCCTATGTAATTTCACCCATTAATCAAATAACTTTGCAACCTTTTCCAGAACTGTAAAGTATACCTGTGTGGGACAAAGAAGGACCTCCTAGACGGCGGGTACGTCACGAGGGAAGTTCCAGAGGATACGGTGGCAGCTTACTCCCAAGGTCTCTGTGGACATTACTTCACTTCTAGCAAAACTGGGGAGAATGTTGGTAAGTTGTCTATAACAAAGTTTAATACATTTGATGCTGTGTCGGACATGATGGCCGAGGCTAGCGGAGGATTGGCTTTTAACAGTTCTTGTCGGCAGTTAAAGGCTAAAATGTGGAAGAGCCATGCTTCGGCACAAATGGATCTCTACCTCCAGATCTCCTCAATCTCTCCAATCCCCACATCCCCAACAATCCTCAAAAGGCGGTAATGCACTTATAACGCCTCTGGGTGTTGTCCATGGGCCACGCCGATTGCTTACTATCGGGTGATCCGACAGCTCGTTTACCGGCTTATTTAAAAAAAAAAATAATAATGCTAGTGAAAAGTGGCTGTCAGGTTTTGTATGTTCACCCCCTTTTTTTAAAGGGGAAGAATCATCCAATGGCTTCTCCCGCCTTGGGTTAGGCGAGAGGTAGAGTCAGACTCTTACTGACTAAAAACCACCCCGTTCCTACTCCTGCTCTTCGAGCCGGAGCCCCGGCAACCCGTTCGGCCTTCCACGGCTCCGATGTCAACCCCTGCTTATTGTTTTGGGGATTCGAATTAATTATCGTAGTAGTTTTAGCTTAAACACTCTTTAGAATTAACACGCCAATCACCGCTTTACAACAAGGATTCACTCTCGACAGTTTCTTATCGCATTTTTTCGTTTTAATCAAAAACTGGACTACTTTGAACTTTACTGGACTTATTTTGAACGATTGAAAGTAGAGACTTTAACAATTCCTGGCTTTCACGCATAACTATTACTCTGCGGGCTCACGATGCGATTTTGACCCGCGCCCACTGCAGTACCGGAATGGAGATTTATATTTTCACACTCACGAGACCGCAGTTATCTACGGCTCAGCAACCGCCGCGGTTGCGATTATCGCCCGGCAACTTGGCAGTTGATTATCGGGCGGTTAAACAATTAGTTGAGTTCCAGACCGGCCTTCCAATTGAAAGAAAGAAAGAAAGAGAGAAAAAACATTTATTTGGCGATTAACAAACAAAGATTATAAATACAGATACTTACATAAACAAAATACTAATAATAAACTTAAAAGAATAGAGAAGAGCGCTTTCGGCGCTCTGATTGGCCGGCTCAAGTGAACCAACCAATCAGAACGCTTAACTCGCTCGATACTATTACGATACGAATGCGATAGTTATTCGTGCTTGGCACACAGAACAAAATAACAATTCGATAATAACAGAATTTAAATATACAAAAAAATATTGCGATCGCCCACCAACCGATTGCAAAGCGCTCGGGTGCTAGCCGCGCCCGCTTCCGCCGGGAACCACAAACGATCGCCACCGCTGCTGGCGTAAAGCACGCCGTGAAATGTGCTTTAATTTTTTACATACATATCTATATACTACTTTAGGAGAGTCGCGTTGTTGGAGAGTCGCGTTGTTCGCGTCCGTAGGAATTACCTTTACAACCCTACACGTGCTCTCCGGGTGGTGCAAAAGGAACAACAACGCCGAGTATCGGGCGGCGGTTAACGAACCTGATTCAGCAGCTCTAAAATCTCTGCTGCTTGCTGGTATGGTAGGAAATGACCACCACAACCCGTTATCTCGAAAGAGACCGGGAACCTTGGCTTAATCGCCCGGGTTGAGAGGAAGAATAACCTCAATAAACAATTACCCTAATCCTACGGTGGAGACCGCGCCAAGAGGATGAATGGCTGAGGGCTTCAGTCTCTAGCGCCAACCTTGATGCACCTGGCGAACATCATTGTATATAGCCTTCTCACAGGAACAGGCGTCACCCTGTGAGCGACCAACCAATCGTCCATACTCGTGGGAATCAAATGAGTGATCCAATTAAAATAAACAAAAATACAAAAACATATATTCAACAAGTATTTCATAAGGGAATACTTGAACACCGACCAAGATCCGCTTCCTTTAGCGGAAGCACAGAGTCAGACCAAGTGGATACTACCAAATCTCTGACAACAGTCCTTGTAACGCCTAAAAAACCGATGGAGCAGGAAAATGTGCCACCTGAATGGCAACGAGTGCCAACAAACAAAAAGCGCAAAGTACGCGAGGACTCTCCACCATCACCTGTACCCATACAAGTAGAAAATCAGTTTACTAGTCTACCACTGGACTCTAGCGATTCACTCCCTAGCAGTAATCGTCCAAATAAACCGCCACCCATAATCCTATACGGTATTGAAGACGTAAATGAGCTCAGTAAATTAGTCGAATTGGTAATCCCCCCCAATGAATTCAAATTCAAGATCGTTAATAAAAATCTCTTACGTCTGATGGTAAATACAGCAGATTGCTATAAAAAAGTAATTGACCTAATCAGGCAAAAAGGGTTAATAGGGCACACATTTACAAGAAAAGAATCCAGACCATACCGTGTTGTCATAAAAAACCTACACCACACCACACCCCATAATGCTATTGTGGAAGAAGTAGAAAAGACGGGAAATAAGGTCCGTGGAGAAATAATAAATGCCCGTTTCGGTGCTGACAAAAAAGCTACTAATACATTTTTCGTAAATCTGGAACCCAGCGCTAACAACAAATGTGTCAAAGACATCCAGTATATTTTCCATCAGAGAGTCAAAATTGAAGACCCTCGTAAAGCAAGAGCAATAGTTCAGTGCCAACGATGTCAGCAGTACGGTCACTCAAAGAACAATTGCATGAGGCCATATCGTTGTGTCAAATGTGGAAAGGGACACAGAACGTCAGACTGCCCAAAAACAGACAGAAATACCCCCGCAAAGTGTGCTCTGTGTGACAGCGACCATCCTGCCAACTATAAAGGCTGTCATGTGTATAAAGAAATTTTAGCTAGAAAAACTAAGCGAGGGAGTCAAAATGTGCAACGAAATATTGGTTCTAACCTCAATACCAATTCAGTTACAGAAAACACAGACACTCCAGGATTGATAAATAACTCACTAAAGACATCAGCTAATATCTCATACGCAGAAGTAACGAAAAATACTAAAGGCCAACAACCAAATTCCTCTAGTGATAACAATCACAGTCAACAAACTAGTACAGTTGAACTGATACTAATCAAATAAACTGAGAAGATTGATCTGCTCTTACAACAAATCAGCACGTTGCTGAATCTCCTTACCACAATCATTCCTAAACTTGCAAAATAAAATGGCATCGCTTAGGGTTGCAGCCTGGAACATTAACGGTCTATCACCCAACATAAACGAACTTGAAGCCTTTATTACCTACAACAAACTGGATGTGGTTTTGGTATCTGAATCGCATTGCACAAACAGGAGTTCTTTCCATCTGAAAGGATATCAAATCTACCACACTCCTCATCCAGATGGCGGCGCTCACGCTGGGTCAGCTCTAGTAATAAAATGTAAACTGAAACATTGCCTACTGGAACCTTACTCAAGTAGCCATTTACAGGCCACTAGTATCAGACTTGAAGATCGAACAGGGCCCATTGTTCTTTCAGCGATCTATTGTCCACCTAAGCATATTATCACTGACAATATGTTCGCAGAATATTTCAAAACTCTAGGCAATAGATTCATAGCCGGTGGTGACTGGAATGCCAAACACACATTCTGGGGCTCTAGACTCACTGTTACCAGGGGCAGACAATTAAAAAAGTGTATTGATCATTACAAGTACTATCCGCTATCTACTGGGAAGCCTACTTACTGGCCGACTAATCCAAATAAATTACCAGATCTGTTGGACTTCTTTGTCGTCCAGGGTCTAAGTCATGTTTTCACTGACATTGAACCCAGCCTAGATGGAACGTCGGACCACACTCCAATTATCCTAACGGTGCATTCTACCGTTGCAGTACGTGAAAGACCTATATTCCTCCATAACGAGAAAACGGACTGGGATGGTTTTCGTTCATATATTGATAGTCACATCAACCTTCGAATCCCACTCAAATCACAAGAAGATATAGAAACAGCATGCAAATATATTACAAACCTTATTCAGGTAGCAGCATGGGAAAATACCCCTTCGACAAATTTAGTACTGAACCCTACATCAACCCAGTCTATGGAAATCCAAAATAAAATAGCGGAAAAACGGCGTCTCCGCAGAAATTGGCAGCAGTCGCGTCACTGCTCTGACAAAAGTTTGCTCAATAAAGCAATTAAAGATTTAAGGTTGTGCCTTAGGAAATGCAGGAATGAGAATATAAAAAGTACACTTGAATTACTTTCTCCATCAGAATTTGGACAGCACTCTTTGTGGAAAGCCTGCAAGCATATAAACAGACCCCAGAAAAAAAAAAAAAAAAAAAAAAAAAAAAATCTATATACTACAAAGGCTGCGGGCCTGCAACCGCGGCGGGCGGGAGAGAAAATCGCGCCGTGAGTTCTTAGCCTTAGAAAAGTATGGTTATACTTAGGAAGCTGAATAGACTCGAAATCGAAACCCCAGTCCTGTTCGGAAATTCGGTAGTTGTTTCGTGGATATGTTTCCATTTTCCTAAATCATTCTTGACTTTTTTATTTTCATTTCAGACGAATTATTTCAAAAAATAGTTGACGACTGTGCTGCTGATGTCCAGTTAATGAAAAACGTTGAAGACATGAGACTACAGCTCCAAAAAGACGAGGCAGCTTACAAAGCGAAAAACAAAGACTACTGTTACTGTTGAAAAGATCAGAAGACTGAAAAGACCGTGGTAAAAGTGTCTCAAAATTATCAAATAAGTTACTTAAAAGTATTGTATCGTCACAAAATGTAAGCACAGTAGACGAGAAAACCAGTAGATGAAAAGACCGGAAAAGACCAATCATTTTTAATTAACACGTTAAACGCCATGGCAGTCACCGGTGACCGACATTAGCGGAGGATTTGCCTTCAACAGTTTTTTATTGGCAGCCAATGCCTTAAAAATGGATTTTGGTCTAATCAACGAAGTATTTCAAAAGAATATTTTTATATCTCTCAAAAGACTAGTAGACCGAAAAGACCACCGCGTATTTTTTTGTTTAAAATTTCTAAATGTGGTGTTTGGAAAGTCCTATGTTCAACTTCGGCTGGAATTAGGAATTAAGGCTATGCCTAAATAATATCTATGTTTTATAAATATGATCTAAAGGCTTTTAGATTTAAGAGAAAGACTAAAAAGCTAGCTTCCAAATTTGTTATAAGTAGGTATTTGTATTGTACAAGCGAAATTTTACACTATTTGTATTAGCGTAAAGATCGAAATAGTTTACGCACTGTAGATAGCTAGAATTTTTTTACTTTCATGTGGCTGGTACCATGATAAAAGACATTTTCCGTCTCTTTTTAATGAACATGCGCAAAAGTGCAGTTGTTTAAGAAATATGCGCTTGCATCAAGCTATGCAAATAAGTACAGACTGCCTCGTTGGCCGAGTGGTCGCAAGGGCGATTCCCGGGGGTCCCGCAAGAGGTCTTTCGGGTTCGATTCGGTCGGGCAATGTATTACTGTTTTTTATCTCAATAGTAGCACGGAGCCTGGAATTGTGTCCAGTATATGGCAATAGGATCACCCCCTATTACATGGGACTCATAACATAAATAGTGAAAAGTGGGTGTTACATTGTACAGTGGCATTAAGTGCTGTAATGTGCACCTCTGCCTACCCCTTCGGGGATAAAAGGCGTGATGTTATGTGTGTCACTGCAGCAAATATTGAGCGTCCAATGTAGTAACACTATTAGACGAAGAAGGAGAGATGCACGCTAGTGTCACCAGCAGCTGTAGCCAAATGCCATTTAGCGCTTGTCTACATGTAGAATAGAAAACCAAATTATATGGAACTAGCTTTTACCCGCGGCTTCGCTCGCGTCACAAAAGGATAAAAAGTAGCCTATGTGACTTATAATACCACTACGCACAGCGCTATCTATACCAATAATTTCGTTTTCCCTCGAGAATATCAAATTTTTCCGGGATAAAAAATACCCTATTATTTAATCCAGACTTCTAACTTTACGTTTGCAAAAATTCAAAGCAATCGGTTTAGTAGTTATGCCGTGAAAGCGGAACAAACAAACAAACTGCCTGTTGGTGCTGACTTTGACTGTTTGACTGCACTGGTTGACTGCACGGTTGGTGCGGTGGCTGGGCAACCGGCTGCCGTGCAACGTGTCGCGGGTTCGATTCCCGCACGGAACAACACTTTGTGTGATCCACAAATTGTTGTTTCGGGTCTGGGTGTCATTGTGTATGTGAACTTGTATGTTTGTAAACGCACCCACGACACAGGAGAAAATCCTAGTGTGGGGCAACGTTTTTTAAAAAAAAAAAAAAAAAAAATTCCGATTTATAATATTAGTAAGGATTGACGTACATTTTCACAACTGTCAGTGTCATCCCCATACATTTAGTTTTCTATTCTCTCGGTAGACAAGCGCTAAAGTGGCGTTTGGCTAAAGGCCCTGGTGAGCAAAACTACAGTAGGCCCCATTCCAGATTCCGTATTCATCACTAAGAAATTTGTTAAATCTGAAAAATCTTAATAATACTTTATTTGAATCAGGAATCCAACTCGAAACCTCTCGGTAGTCGTACTTGTAAACACTTGATCAAACGAAGCGATCAAATAATAATTTATGTTGTAATAATTTAAACAATAGTTCTACTAAAACTAATAGCAAAAAATAACTATGATTGGTCATACGTACTTATAGCTTACCCACCCACTGATAGGTTAGAAGTCGGTGCCACAAGTTTTACACAAAATTATTCATTAAAACCTTAATTGATACCTAACATTATTAAGCTGTTTACAATTTTATTATGGACTAGCTACTTCCGCGCGGTTGCACCCGCTCTGCTCAGCTCCTAATGATTGTAGCGTGATGTTTTGTAGCCTATAACCTACCTCGATAAATGTACTATCCAACACAAAAATAATTTTTGAAATCGGACTGGTAGTTTCGGAGATTAGCGCGTTCAAACAAACAAACAAAAAAAAAACAAACTCTTCAGCTTTATAATATTAGTATAGATTATACCCGTGACCATTACCTAAGATATATTTTGTTATGGGTTTGTGGCACCGACTTCTAACCTAACAGCTGCTATTAACATTTTACTTCAGGACGAAAACTAAATAGATTTAACTGCGTATAAAATTAGATTTATTTGTTGAATGGAAATTCAGTCAAGCCAAGATAACAATTACCTCTACTATGTAACTTTCGTGAAACATATTATGGTTTCTGCTTACTTACGTAACTATTTGACGAGGATCTCGACTACTTTCAAGCCATGCTGGAGGCGTCGTCAATACCACGAATAGAGGAAAGTGCGCGTGAATCACGGCAGAGGACGCGCTGGGCGCAGACTCGAGTAGCCAGTTGCAGCGACAGTACCGCGTCGCGGGTCGCGAAATGCTACTGATGAATATGAGCCTCTAATATAGCTTGAAACTAGTCGAGTTCCTCGTCAAATTATTACGTGAGTAAGCCGAAAACATAGTAATTTATAGTTTTTGCCATAGAATTGGTCCTTAGATCTCACGTAAACGTACCGCACTTGTAGCAACTTCACTGTGAGGCAGTTATTTCTAAGTGCTGCTACAGTAGCGTTAAGATTAAACGAATATAATTTATTTATATAATTAATCTGTCTGACTCAAATCAAACGTCAAAGTCAAAATCATTCATTTCAATAAAATAAATTGTAATTTTTATAAGATAACATTTTCCGAGTAATAATATGTACTTTCTAAGATTATTTAGACACCACTGACAAACGGTGAAGGAAAACATCGTAAGGAAACCTGGGCTTATAATTACAAATAAGATGATTGATTTTTATTTTAATGTCCGTCTGGTAGATTTGTTTAAATCATTAGACACGTATTTTTTATTTTCTTACAGAAACGAATACTTTCGACGATATATTGATTTGAAATGTCGCGTGACGTCACTTCTATGTACATTTTATGCGTAGAAATGACGTTTTAACCCTCACTCCTAAACTTTGATTTGTTTTATTTAACTCGTCGAGTACCGGTTTTGTAGACACAATTATAGAACAATAGGTTGCGGTCACCGGTGACCGCTTGGTGTTTGACAGTTTAAGTATCATTTTATTTTACGACAAAATAAAAAAAAAATTCGTGTCTAATATTTTTTCATTACCTAACCAACGGACTAATTCGATTTTTAATTTTCATACCCTGTCATCATCCCTATTATAACTTTGAAATCGCCAATCCGCATTAAGCAAGCGTGGTAATTAATGCTCAAATCTTCTCAGTGTGTGAAGAGGCTTTTGGTCAGCAGTGGCCACTTATAGGCTGTTGATGTTAGTAGTAATTTGTCAAAACGGTCATTGGTTACCGGTAACTGTAATTTTATTTTAATGATGATCTTGACTTTGACTTTTGATTCGCTGTATATTATTTTGTTGACGAAAACATGTATAGTTTTGTAAGATGTCCAAATAAAAAGCTTTATATTTGTGTACTATTGTTTTTTTATTTATCCATGTAAGTTGTAAATGTTTTCAGCCGTCAATACACATCCCATATCCTTTAAAATACTGTTACACAACTAAAAACTAGCTGACCCGGCGAACTTCGTACCGCGTAATACTCTAACCTACTCTATCCCACTCTACCCTGGGAGCAGTCATTCGATGATTTTCCCCCCTTAAAAAAAAACCCTACTCTACCCTACTCTACCATACTCTACCCTACTCTACCCTACTCTACCCTTCTCTACCCTACTCTACCCTATTCTACTGTACCCTAATGAAAAATAGACTATCCTATCCCCCAATTTGGATCGAACTGCACATGGTGTGCGAATTTTATTATAATCTGTTCAGTGGTTTAGGAGTCCATTGAGGACAAACATAGTGACACGAGATTTATATATATTAGGATAGCACGCTAAATGGCCTTCTATTGATCATGCTCAAAAATGTTTAAAAACCGAACGCCTGTCTATTCACAAACATGCCTGAAATGAGCTAATTTTGAGCAACATTCCGACGCATGTTAGTGCTAAGACAAGACAAGTGCTAAGCCAAGTGCTCGATTGAAGCATGCATTTGTGCTAGAAATTAGCAAAAGTAACAGTACCTCTTAATCAGAATAAAATATTATATGCTTTACCTAAAACTACAGCGTTTTATGGTTGAACTAGCTGTTGCCCGCGACTTCGTCCGCGTAGAATAATGACTTCTGGCAGAATTTAGGCTTTTGAATTAGTTTTTATCAAGGGATATTCTACGGTAATGGATGTCGTCAGAATTGATTCAGTCCCGTAGATGATAGCGTGATAATATGTAGCCTATATGTTTACCAGACTTGTTAGTAATATTCATGCAAAATTTGAAATAGTAGTGCAGTACTTTTTGAGATCATCACGGCCATACATACAGACAAACAGACAAAAATTCTAAAAACCACATTATTGGCTTCGGTATCGATTAGAGATCACGCTTCAAATATTCTTTTAAAAAATATTCAATGTACAGTTTTGTCTTTTCTACGATTTATTATATGTGTAGATAGCTGTTGCCCGCGACTTCGTCCGCGTAGATTAGTGACTTCTGACAGAATTAACCAGAATCAATTCAGTGCCCAAGTAAGATTTACCTATTTTGAAATGATTTATCGTAGTTTCAATAAATAAATAATCCCGCAGGGATCTTACCAGTACAGTGCCCGATCACGTAAGGTTTGAGTAATAAAAACTATTCTATCGACTATTGTTGTACCGAATCTCTCTAGAATAAGTTCAGTGGTTAAGAGTTAGAGAGTCCTGGGGCATTGACGCATAGTTCCCGTTCTCGTGAGACATCTGTGAAAAAACTATCATACGTTACCCAGGTCCCAAATCATCGTTTTACCGAATGTAATTCAAAAAGATTCAATGATTCTAAATTCAACGGCTAAGAAGATTTATACAAACTCTCATTCCCTATTTTATCCCCTTAGGGGTGGAATTTATCAAAATCCTTTCTAAAGAGATACCTATGTCATAGTAACTTTATGCATGCAAAGTCTCAGCCCGATCAATTTAAAACTGGCAAAGTATCATACTTTGGGGTGAGAATGTTCAAAAACCTTTCTAAAGGGACGTTTACGTCATAATATCCATCTGCACGCCGAATTTCAACCCGATCGGTGTAAAACTGACAAAGCCTCACACAAACGTTCATCCCCTATTTTACCCCCTTGGTGGAAATTATCAAAATCCTTTCAAAGCGGATGCTTACGTCATAACATCTATCTGCATGCCAAATTTCAACCTGATCGGTTTAAAACTGACAAAGGCTCATATAAACTTTCATCCCCTATTTTACCCACTTGGGGGTGGAAATTATCAAAATCCTTTCACAGCGGACGCCTACGTCGTAACATCTATCTGCATGCCAAATTACAACCCGATCGGTTTAAAACTGACAAAGTCTCATACAAACTTTCATCCCCTATTTTACCCCCATTGGGGGTGGAAATTATCAAAATCCTTTCACATCGGATGCTTACGTCATAACA